ATATATGTATGTATGTTGTAGATTTTTATTTTCATTTGCAATTTATTTATTTTAAAATATACAATACACTCACACACGACCACCAAACGACGGATTCATGTGATACATATATATATCTACATACATACATACAATGTTATAATAATATTTATAATAATTATAATGTTAATAAAAAACGATTTTTTGGACATTGGCTGGTTTTGCTTTAGAGAAGCTTTCCATGTTTACTTTAAAAGATTCCATATTTTGCTAGCGTTATTGTACGTATGTATTATTACCTACTTTTTGTTTTTAATGAAAACAATCGGAGACGATTCAGTTCTGCTTTAAGCAATAAATTGAACGAACGAATAATTAATAAAAAAATAAAATAAAATAAAAGACAACAATATGATAAAATATGTATGAAATCTACTAATTAGCACCTTAACTATTTTTTGACATTTTGATTGAATTATGCTTTTTGTATAATATTAATTGATTTGTACTGCTAATATACATACTTTTTTAAAAAATAAAAAAATTAAACAAATAATAATTAAATAACTTTAAAATAATTTTTAAACTATATGTATGTATACGCACGTTTTTTTTATTAAACCACTTGTGCCATTTTTTTTAATAAACTACCGTCTTCATGACGATGCGGCTATTAGCTACAGATGTTAAACAAAAACAAAACACAGCAAATTAAAATCACCAACACCCGTACGTCCAAAAAATTAACAATTTTTGTTTCAGTGTAATATGAGTGAGTTTTTGTTTTTGTTCTTTAAGTATTAAAAAGTGCTTTTAGGGCGGCACGCTTCCTCTGCTCACTCCTGCTTCTCCTCTTCCTCACTTCCAGCGTCTCTGTCTCTGCTGCTATCTACTGATACTCGTCATCGCTGCTCAGCAGCATTGTCTTCTCATTGTAGTTCTGGCTAATGGTGGCTACTCGTTGACCACCTGGCATGAATTTCCTTTGATTACCCAATGTTTTCGAAGCAACACAACTGGCCGCACTACCGCCAGGTGTACCTGTACTGACATTGCCCATGCTACCCATTGTACCGCTGTTGCCTTGATTGTTGCCATGATGTGTTGCACTGGGCTCATCAGGATCGTAGGAGGAGACACGTATGCCACGTGAATTTTTACCACCTAAATGAGAGTAGGAAAATGCTCATAGCAGCTAAAATATATTATAGGTATGCAAATGATTGCGAAAGTTGGAAAACGTAACGGAACACAACAACAATTTATGATGGATGGTATAAATTTTTTAAAATGCTTATAGCGCCATGCTTTAAAAATAATAAACAAAAGCTATTAATTTAAGAGAAATCAAAAACTAAGAGTTTGTAATTTATTATTATTCGGTAATCGATTTTTTAGATTTATGATGTTTCATAATACATACATTTATTATATCCCTATTCTTGTTTTTCCAACTTCTTTCTATTGATATTTTCGTGTTTGTATTATTTTTCTTCTCCTTTTGCCTAATCTAGTTTTTCTTATTATTCATTCTTTTCTAAATTATCTTCTTATTCTTTTCCTCGGCTTCTTCTTCTTCGTCGTCATCCTCTTCTTCTTTCTTCTTCTCCCTCTTCTTCTTCTTCCCCCTCTTCTCCTTCTTCTCACTCTTCTTCTTCTCCCTCTTCTTCTTCTTCTTCTTCTTCTCCCTCTTCTTCTTCTTCTCCTTCTTCTTCTTCCTCTTCTTCTTTTTCTCCCTCTTCTTCTTCTTCTTCCGCCTCTTCTTCGTCCCATTCTTCTTCTTTCTTCTTCTGCTTTTCCCTATTTTTCTTCTTCTTCCTATTCTTCTTCTTCATCTTCTTCTTCCTATTCTTTTTCTTCATCTTCTTCCTCTGCTTCTTCTTCATCTTCTTTTTCATCATCTCTTCTCTTTCATCATCTCTTCTTCTTCATCATCTCTTCTTCTCCATCTTCTTATTCTTCTTATTTTTCTTATTCTCCTTTTTAATCTTTTGCTTCTCCTTTTTAATCTTTTGCTTCTCCTTCCTTATCTTTTTTCTTCTTGTTCTTCTTCCTCTTTTTTCTTCTTCTTGTTAATCTTCCTCTTTTTGTCTTCTTCTTGTTCATCCTCATATTTTTTTCTTCTTCTTCTTGTTCTACTTCCTCTTCTTATATATCTCTTCTTCCTCCTCTTCTTAATTATATACTTCTTCGCCTTTTTTATCATCTTATTTATTCTTTTTCATTTCCTGCTTCCTCATCAAATTTTTCTTTTTATTATTCTTTCTCTTAGCTATGTACATATTTTGTTCTTACTTTTATTATTCGTATTCTTATTCCTATTTTTCTTCGCCTTTTTCTCCTTTTATTTTTTTTTTTTCTTTGTCTCCTTATTCTTCTTTTCTACACATATTTTCTCTTCTGATTTTTTGCATTCTAGCAAAGCACTTTTTTTTTGGTACCCATCGGACAGCGAATAAAGAAATTATAGATAAAAACGAACTAGGAGTCGAAAATAATTGTATACTCTGAAATCTTTCCTAGTGAGTAGTTTCATTTTGTAACAGCAAACGAATTCCAGTACTTGGCCAGATATAAATCTGGTTCGTTCCGGTTACCTAGACTTTCTCTTTTGCTGGTTATCTACGGAAATGTATTCTAAGTGGAAACTTTTAATAATGATATTATTGGAGCTCTCCTTATCATTTTTGCCAAAATCGCGGGAGAAACAGAAGAATGAAGTGGCTACCACATACTACTTGGTTGTAAATATGTCAAACCATGTAAAAAAAATAAAATTTCTTAAAATAAATTGTTACAAACATATGTATGTATGTAACTAAAACAAAATATCGCTAGCTTATAGTGAAAAATTGCTATGGCCACTTTTTCAAAAAAAAAAATCTAATTTGATGCAAGAAGCAAGAATACTTAAAGGAGCATCGTGTTCTAAGAGATCGAACTACCTATTTTTTAATTCCTAAAGAATATAAACAACTTTTTATTAACATTGTAGAATTTGATTTGTTTGGAGAACGCGCAAACTTGTATTAAAATTTTAGTTTGAGTTTGAAAGGCTTTTTTTCTCTCCTATACAATTTTATAAACTGGACTTGGCAACTTTTCACTCTAAGCTAGCAAGAGATTAAGTTTCCACATACAGTAAAAAATACACTTTTACTTAAGCACACATTTTTATTTAAAACTTTCTAATCAAATTTCATACAATATTTATGTTTTAAATTATACATATTTTTTTTAAGTATAAACTTCCATTCATTGTAGCAAATAATTTTTAGTACATTTCAATATGCATAAAATTTTCACATGCGCATTGTAAATATTTATATAAGGCTATCACATAAAAAGCTCAAAAAAAAATTGTAGTAGGTATGAGTGAAAAACAAAACACAGTACATAAGTAAAATAAATTGCAAAAGCATTCAATTAAATTCATGAAATATACGTGAGAAAAAAAATTGGATTTGGCTCTCTTTATTTTTCTACATACACTGCCGGCAAAAAGTATTGGCACAGCGAATTTTGTGAAAAACTCGCGAAAATTCAGCAAATTTTAATCAGATTTTTTAGATTTTTTTTAGTATGCAGATTTGTAGCCCAATCAATTTTATTATAATAAAGTACAAGCTTTTAGTAGCTAGGAATTACCGTTGATTTATGGCAGTTTTTTTCACGCAGTCTCTTCCATACCTTCAACAAAAAAAAATCTTAAAAATCAAAGCGATTTTTGACTAACTCCGAAATTGCATTTTTTTAATAGAATTTAATGGGCTACAACACTCCAAAAAATCTGATTAAAAAGCTGAAAATTTGCATGAAAATTTATTGGTTTTTCGCGAGATTTGCACAAAGTTTAGAAATTATATTTTTATATTTTTTGTTGTCGAATGAACCATATTTAAAAAAATTATCAGAAAAATAATAGAAAGAAATTGGTGCATATATTGTGAACAATTCGCTGTGCCAATACTTTTTGTCGGCAGTGTATATATTTTTGTTTTGTGTTTTGGTTGAGAAATTAATAAGCATTGAAATAAATTGAATGGCAAAAAAAAATTAAAATTTAGGTTATCTTGCATAAGATAAGAATAATAAGAAGCTTTTCTTCAGAGCAAAATGGAAATTGAAGGACTTAAAAAAAATGTCACAAATTAAAATAAACCATCTTGAATGTGCATACGGGCGTTTCCAGCGGAAGGTCTATAGCGAAAAAAATAAAAGTCATATATCGAACTTATTTATGAGCCAATTTTGCTGGTTTTATAATATATACCTCGTTATGTAAGCAAAAACGTTTTTGCGAAAAATGGTCTCGCTAGGTGGCGCCAGGATCGAGAGATTTTGAAAAGATATTACTACAAATAATTCTATACGTTGCCCAATTCGCTGAGTTTTGCAATTTTGTAATCGAAGTCAATACCCACTTATTATTTTTTGTAATGTCACGCCAGCGCATATGTCGGCTTATATCCTCTTCAATCTCTACAATCAATTGTTGCCACTTTTCACTGAATAAAGAAAGAGCTACTTAATTACTATGAACCTTGAACAACCTTTCCAAAATTTCGACTTTTTCATTCTATTTTTAAACATTTTGTCATCTAAATGTTACGTCACGTCAGATTGGAAATGCCCATATGTATGTGTATATATCTACTGAATACATTTGAACTTCATCATTCATAAGATTTCTAAAATGCAGCTGCTGGTAGAAATTCAAAAAAAAAATAAATAAATAAATTTCGAAAAAGCGCATAAGAACCATAAGTCAAAAAATTTCCTAAGTAACGACTGCCTTTTAATTTGTGTTAGAAAAAAATAAAAATATTGCTTCTAAACTAAAACTAGAAAATGCGTAAAATGCAAGTGTTTTCATTTTAAAGAGCAACACGCAGCGATTCTAATTTCGTAAATGGAGAACCCAGATAGAAATACCGAGTTTCGTATTATATTTGCGTCGATAGCTCATGACGCCAAGTTTTCAAAAGCAATAATGTCTTTCCAAAATTGTAGAGCAATACAATTTTTAGTGCAGCTTTATTATTTACCGAACACAGCAAACTCAAAAAAATTAAATAAAAAATGCAAAAATATAAACAACGGTGTAAAAGTTGTTACGTACTGGAAACAATAATCTGTACTATCATTTGTATTTTTTTACTTTGTAAAAATTAAAAAAGTATCTTGAGCTTTACAAATAATATATTTTAAAATAGAAAATTTGTACAAAAATAGTTCCAAACGCAATAAATATTCAATATGTCGCTTGATCCATGCTTGAAAAATTAACCAGTTAAATTTGGGTACCCAAGAACCTCAGTAACGCTCCCCAAATAATAGTATTACTAGGTTTTATATGTGTAAAATGTCGTTTTCTTCCTATTTTGGACAGTCACTAAGTACTTTTTTGCCTAAAGATAGATGGGCATTTTATTAAAAAAAAAAGTGGTTTATATCTACATAAAATGTGTGTAAGATGGTATATAAAGAATTAAAAAAAAATAAGCTAACTAGCAGGTTAAGAGACGACGAAATTCTCTAAAAATGTTTTACATATGTTGTGCCAGTAAAGAAGAATTTTAATAAATATATTACGCCTAGGGTTCCTTTTGTTTGAGTAGACCAGCCCAAACACTCCATTGTGCTAAAAGGTTTGGCTTGGCGTCCTTCGAAGGCATTGTTATGTGAGCAAATATGGACATTTGAAGCATATGGAATGTGTTTGGACAAAATTTTGGTTTATTTTGCAATAAAAATCTTAAAAGTTGTTAGCCAAAAATGCTTGTTTGCGCAGGTGTATATTGAGCTAGTAAATAGACGCTTTTGTGCTTTGCTACAGATTATAATCAGCACACGTAAAAACTTATAACATTAAAAAAAAAGAAAAACACAAACAATAGGGCTTTTGCAATATAGACATTCATGTATGTGTGTATGTGCTATTCTTCATATAAACTTAAGAGCTATGCAATGTTTCACTTAAAAATTTTCATTTTTATCATAAACAGCGTTTAAGACGGTTTTGTTTTGCAATTCATATAGGTATGTATGTATAAATATGTAGGTAGTATATGTGTTTATAACTATTATAAGGCAATTTTGGTATGCGAAAAGCACTTCGTAAAGGCATTTTCTAAACGCAACAGCACTATAGAAAAAATATCGTTTTAGAATTCATATCGTTTCATATCTTATTAGGTATGTTAAGTACTTTTATCCTCTTTCAATGCGCTCTCTTCTCTCTCTATTTCTCACAACATTAAATGTCTTCGTCTCGGCACATTCATTATTAGCAGAACGAATGTCATGCATTTTAAAGTTTCTCATAACGTTGAGACGAGGTAACTTCTGTAAAAAGAATAGAAGAGAAAAGAAACAAATTTGAAGAAAAACCTAAGATGGTAGCGAAAACAAATATTTTCAAAAAAAAAATAAATGCACTAAACGCAAATTCAACCGAAACCAAATTAAAAGAAATGGAAACAAAAAAAAATATTGTACGTAAAACGAAACGCATTAGATGGGTATGCAACGATTACGAGTGCCATTTGAAATAATATACATACAGATGTTTAGGTGGAGTGTAATTAGAAAGAAGGAAGAAGGAAATATAGTTTGAATACAGGGTTTTCAACGCCCAATACCTAAATGCTAACAACTAACCAGAAAGTGGGCGATTGGTAAAAAAAAAGCGATTATGAAAAAGAGCAAGGTTTGAGCAGTTTTTTATAGTGGTTAATGAATTTATAGACAGCATGAATTTATAATAGCGGTGGTTAGCGACTTGCATTGATCGGGCAATATTTATGTATGATAATGAGTGCTGTTAAATGTTTCAGTTTTTTTTAGTGTTTACATAGCAATACAATAATAAATTAATTACAGGCGCAATACATAAATATTTTAAAGCCACATGAAACATGCATACAAATGCATACGTATGTATATGAATAGTATGGTATTCAAGAAAACAAAACAAAAGCGACTTACCGGAACTGTATTGCGTATATTGTTGGTATTGTGGATGAAAATTGTGTATAGCATCTGTCATAATATCCTTGGGATTCATTGTTTCCTGCAAACACAATAAAATGTATTAATTTAATCACTTTAAAGATATATCCATCAGTTTTTGATATACTTTAAGACTGCTTGAAATCGATTGCATTGTTACAGAGCGACCTTGACCATCGGCAATACAGCTGCGCGCATATACCTGAAATTAGATGAGGAAGAAAATTGTTATTTGAAATTTGAAAGAAATACTTTAAAATTTCTTCAACAAAACATCAAAAATAAGAAATTATCTTAATATAAAAAAATCCCGTGTCACTGTATTCGTTTACGCTTATCTCCGAAGCTAATTCATTGAAATTTTGTGGGTGTGTATGGTTGGTTCCAACTTAAAAGATAGGATACACTACACGCGGGAAGATATTCGCGCTCTAAGTGACATAAATACACTGGTTTTGAGATTCCTACTTAGTTTTAAAATTATGTACTTTTAGCTCCGACAATAATCTTCATTCCCGTTAAACTCAAACACTCCTCCTGCAATGGCTTTTCGAAATTCTTCAGTTTGCCAGGCTTGCTGAAATAACTTGTTTTAGCACGTGTGACAGTACTTTTAGCCTAAAGTAGGCTTATAATTGTAAATTCGTTGCAAAGTAACCAGGGGCCAAAAATAAGGGGCTCAAGGCCGGAGTTAAAAAAAAATCACAGTCGATACTTCGACTGTGGGGCTATTCAGCGATATTGGAGTCGAAGTATTGAAAACATTTTAATAGCTGACTTTTGTAGATCTGTTTGTATTAAATAAACGTAGCATTGTGATCATTAAAAATTTATGCAAAATATTTCTATATTAAAGTACCTACTTTTAAATACAGTGTGGCCACATAATTTGGGACTCTACTGCTTTACTAGGTTGACCATTTATTTATAATAATTTTTTTTTTTTTAATTGCGTTTATACCGAAAACTATGTAAATCAAAGTTTCAAACCTTAAACAAGATTTATAAAAATTCGCCGCATTTCAAAAAAATTGCCCTAAAATTTTCACTTTTTTTCAGAATTTTGGTAATGCAGTTTTGTATGTTAGTCCATTCAATTTTAGTATAATACTATGCAAGAGAAAATGAACCGTCAGCAAAAAAAAAATCTCAAAAATCAACGCGATTTTTTTCTAGAAGTTCAGGTTAAAAAGTTGAAAATTTCTATGACCATTTTTAAAAATTTGGCGAAATTGAGTTTTTAGTTGCAGGGTGTCCGTTGTGGTATAAACTATATTTTTGTAAAAAAAAATTATTAAAATTAAAGAAAAAATAGCCAACACTTGTAAACAGTAGTGTCCGTAAATATGTGGCCATTATAATTGCTAATTTTACGGGCAACTTTGCAAACATGTTTCCCCCTATAAACGTTGACAGCGCTCACTCTTCGATTACCATACAGGCCATTAGTTAATTAGCATAAAATAAAACATTTGCTTTCGATATTTACCAATAACGCTTATGGCTGTTAAAAAAATAAACAATAATAGTGCAAATATCGCCAAGATATAAAGATATCATGCGAAAAGCGCACACAAATGTTAAAGAATAATGGAAATCAAAAGCAAATAAAAGAAGAAAAAATACTACTAAATACGCGCCACGCTCCAATGCCTATCTACATTTCGCTTCGCCCATAAACACTCAATTTCAATTTATGTGCAACCTCCACTTTCAATTTTCACTCTACGCTAGTCTACATTCAGACTTCACACTTTCTACATGCTGAGCTAGTAACAGCTGTACATCAGCCAACATTTGTAATCTTCGAAGTGTTAATTGCTTGCGAAATATTATTATTATTTTACGTTTATCTTATCAATGGCAATAATACATGCGTACATACGTATGTTGAGCGAGCAAATGACTGGCAAATGTTAACGCTGAAATATTTAGTTATAAGTATAGTTGAACTATGTCGGTATTACTCATGATTGTAACCAACTATTTTACAAAGAAAACTAATTATTCAAATAAGTGAAGTAAATATATGTTGGTTTTGCTCACCTGATAGGGGAAGGCATAGCGTAACGCAATCGCAGCAAATAGCATTTCAATGCAAATGAAAAAGTTCTGATAGCCCGCCGAGACAGTACCAGCTGAGGTGTGAGTGCCAGCACTGTCGACGATCGGCGAGATGACTTTGGCCTTCTCCAAAATGGCCAACATCACACCTGGCGAGAGGCAAAAGCAAATAATTAGTAAACAAAAAACAAAAGGCAACAATGATTTCAGATGACTCACCTTGCCAAAATGATAAGAAGATAATCGATTTGATTGTACAAAACTTCAGCACAGGCTCAAAGGGTGTTAACAAATCACGCGTAGCAAAATAGAATAAGTACAAGCCGTAGAGGGCAAGAGTAACGGATATATTGTAGATGACAGTAATGTAAATATAACCACCATTGGCGCTGTAGAATATATCGTAGTTTAGCAATTGACTGCACAGTCACGAATTTCAATAAGTAAATAGAAAAATTTACCTCCAATCACCATCATGATAGTGGCCAAAAGCTTGCAGGAATATAATAATAAACGCCACAAGCGGCTTCACCAAGCAGAATTGCAATGTAGCCTGCTTGCAGAAGCGTAGGAAGCCGATGGTATATGTTTTACCTCTTAGGCAGCAAGTGCCATAAAGACACGAGCTTTTAATGGGTTTGCCACGTATCTCGGACATAATGTTGCCCTCGCCACCGAGGTACTCGTAGCATAGCGACAGGAAACTGTAGATGACAAAAGCTAGAAGAATGAAGAAAAACGAGAAATATTTCATATACATTCTAATTTCATGTAAAAATAGCAAACGCACCGCTGCAGACTTACCTTCATAGCAATCACGTACGGTAAAGAAATACACGTACACATTATCTGAATTGAAGAAAAATAAACTGATCCACGAGTATGTCGCATACATGGGCACAATAAATAGGATACGTACTATCCAACGTTGCTCCTGTGGATTTGTATACCAACGCAGGTGTTGATAAATCTATTTGTTAAAGAAACGTTTAGAGCAACAGGAAGGCATACAGGTTATAAGTTAAGCAAACCAGTTAATAGGTTAAGTCAAATAGTATTGCCCACCTGTTGGCATGTGATAAAGAGTGCCGCCCACACGAATACAGTCGCAAGTCCTTGAGCGGTCTTTGTTTGCAGGAAGATACCATCACCGACGTGACTGAGCGGATCAATGGGCGACGACATTGGTTTGGCTTGTACAATAAAATTCGGTTTTAAAGTTGTCGATTCGGTCATCATCGATGCGACGGCTGCAGCTGCGGCTGCTGCTGTGCCATTCGGGTCAATGAAGCTGGCTGGACTGGGCGCTGTGCTACTCACAACGCTGCTCATACTGTGAGTGGAACAATAAATCAGCGGTTAATGAAGGGAAGTTAGGTGATGCCGGAAAAGAGAAAGAAAAAACGTAAGTTGATTAGTAAGTTTTCATCAATGAGTAAGTATTTCAATTTATATTTATTCTGCTGCAAACTTTGTTGTTTTGGTGCAATCGATAGCTAAATAATACTGTATTATACTACATAGATTTCATATCCCACTGGGAAAGTAGGTAAACACCTTACAAGGTAATCAATGTTTTCTTTCAGCTTTTAGTACCAAAATTGTCATCATGACCAACTTCATCTATTAGTAAACCACAAATTGAATACCACCGATGACGCCTTACATTGTAGGTTGCAAAATACCATGCCGCCGAAGTTATTTCCGAGCGCCTGCTTTACACACATGTCTAATACCAAATGTACATTATAAATTTCTACTTCCAACAGGGCGGCCACGCCTTTGTTAGAGTAAGAGAGATTCGGCAGGAAAGTGGCAAGGACCGCCAAAGGAAGTGTAAGTTGTTGGTAAGGCATTACTAAGTGATCCTATTTCCTATGGGTGTTGTACGATTAACACATAGATTTCGGAATTTTACATTCTATGTTTGGTTGGTACATGTATAATTTGTGCCGTCGTTTAATCGGTTGAAAGAGTATTTGCACCCGACCCATAGGACCAGAGCCTTTCCTTGCTATAAGACGACATACTATCAGGGAAGAATTCAGAGCAGATGAGCAGTAATTTATAAGATGTAATGTAGGCCAGCAGTTTATAGGATCTCCTAAGGCTAGGCACATTTACTCTCCACAACCCCTGTAATTGGAGCTTTAGGACTAGGCGAGGTCTTGTGATGAGATTTGAGAGCACAATAGCCCAAAATTCGTAGTACAGTTCGTCCGTTATAGCTATCTAAAGGGTGACCCATAATTTACGCAAGAACGTAAATGTGAATGCCGTCATAGGACCATTCTTTTTTTAAATCAAGAAAATTTCTACGAAAGTGCGTGTTTTCCAGTAAAGCCGCTATTCTTTTTGATTTAATTATATAGTTTTTGTGAAAATATGCGTTTAGGAGAAGATTCCACATCTTCTGAACAAGGTAAAGAAGAAACCTAGCTGATTTTTAGCTCAAAAGGTAAAATCAGAAACAGGATCCACAAACGCAGTGTTTGAAAATTAAAATTGCATATAAAAGTTGAATTTTGAGTTCAACTTAAACTTTGTAATGTAATGCCTGGTTTTCATTAGGCCAAATTTGATGTCAAATTTTGTCAAAATAATGAAAACAGGTAGTCATCTGGCCTCATTTGCGTTTGTTGTCATATATCACGAGGCACGGTCATATGAAATGACAGCTCAGTAAAAACTGCCCTTAAAATTCTGATCCCCCAAACGAAGGCTTAAAAACGCATTATTTGGTGCTCTTACGCCAAGGAGTCCATTTAAGAAAGAACGTCTGATTGAATGAAAAATTAAATTGCGCTTAAAACCGAGCTTCACAAGTAAAAAGTTATCTGCTTACCTAAAAACAGCATGCAATGAAATAAAAAAAATGCGTTTTTGGTTCTTGCAGGCTTGGAAATGGATTCCTTGATGTAAGAACAGCAAAAATATGCGTTTAAAACTTTTTAAAACCGCATTTCATAATAAATCAGGTAAAAAAAATAAATAAAAATTAAAACCTATTTTTGAAGGTCAAGGAAATTCTTTTATTCAACGTAAAATTTTTCCTGAATTCTCTATCTGAAAAGCTTTTAATGTCGTTACATTTAGTTATATCGCTATCACTGCTCCTTCTCGAAATATTTGATTTTGTCGCTTTTTTTCTAAAATAGAATACAGTGCGACGTTTTGGATTTCCCTTACACCTTCGACGGAATGAAAAATTGTGTGTAAATAATAAAAAAAGCAAAGAAGGCAGAAAATATTGGAATAAAAACTTTGAAGCAAAGATGTGCGAAGAATTCCATGTATAAAATCCATAAATTCTTAAGGGTGAGACAGCTCTGGCCAAGAGTATATAAACGTATAAATGCGTTATCTAATTGAACAAGGTGAAGCGATAGTTATTCCAAAACATCTTCTACACTTTTTTACGGATCGCGGGGAATTTGTTTTTCTAGATTCAAAAAAGAAAAATTATTTTGAAACCACCGATATTTTACCTCGCACATGCCACAGCTTTAAAGAGTTTTAAAAGTTGCTAGGTCACTTTAATTTTACCATATTTCTTTTCTTAGAATATTTAAACTATATATGTATGTATTTACTTATAACTAGTATAGACACAATCTATACAATCGTGTGACCCAACAATCGAATGTCAACGTCAAATCTCCTTTATATTAACACTAAACTGTCAGATTTATTTACTACTCGAAACAAATATTTACATATAATTTCTGATTAACAAGAAGCGAATACCGTTTCGTCAGAAAACAGTATTTACTTATTTGCTTATAATCTACATTTTACAAATCGTAATACTTTGATAAGATTGTCGTAAACTCAAAGTAACTGCAAAAATAGTTGTGCTCGATAAGAACACCAGCCAACCAGTGTTGCCGCAACACTTTTTTATTTTTTACCAAAATCACCAAAAAAAAGTTACCAAGTTCAACAAAAAAACTACCAAACTTCACATTTCAAACTTTGTGCAAAAATGATAAAAAATCTACAAAGTTTTATCTAAATTTTCAACCTTTTATTCAGAAAAAAACGATTGCGCGTCGTTTCAAAAACGCACTAATAATGGTATATTTTGCATTTATATATACATCTCCAGCTATATAGGGTTTATGCCATGAAACGACCGATCTGATCATTGACAGTGTCATTAATGCGGTTCATTGCAACAGAGGACTATAAAAGCATAAACAGACGGCAGCGTTGATCCGGATCAACTCGGGAATTAACTGCAGTTGATCCAGACTAAGTCCGAGTTAATCCGGATCAACGCTGCCGTCTGTTTAAGCTTTAAGGCGCATAATTTCCCGTAGATGGGATGTCCTTCGGTTATCATTCGATTTGGCACCAGTGGACTCTTTTATGAGGCTACTCAGATAGCCTCTTTGGAGCACTTTAAAAACAACATTTATTGTCCACGATCACACAAAATCTTCCGGGAAAGGACACGGTAGATATAGCAATAGCCACTTTCAAGCAGTTTGAGATCACACCATTCTAGTAACCAAGGAACGCTGCAATAACTTTTCGCCTTGCAAAACTTTTTGGATTACCTGGTATTTCTTGCCACTCCCTAATGTGGAATCATAACCTGTATTGACCTATGTGACATGTAGGACCAAATCGAAAAAGTTACCAATTTGCCAAATTACCAAATTTGATAAATGAAGAAAAAAGATTACCAATTTTGGTTAAAAATTACCAAAGTGGCAACGCTGCAGCCAACAATCTCTCCTAAAGAGAAGAAGAAGCATGGTGGAATAATAACAAGGCGTTGTCAGTAGCGACGTGTTTGTTGTAATTTTGACAAGATCGGCATGCTTATTTTCAGTGCTGCCGATCTTAATTTTTATACTACTATTCGTTGGAAAATAGTATCTAAAATAGTGCATTTTAGTAATTCGTTTTATCGCGATTTTTAAAGAACTTGTTGTCTTCAGAACGATATTAATATTTAAAATTGTTGGATTTGTATAATTTTTGCCCTAAAAATGTAAAAAAAAAATAAAAGATATCGTGGTTATCAATGGAAAAGGACGCACACAAAAATCATATGGAAAGGCGTTTTTTTATATTAAATAACTTTTGCTGCATTGTCATAATATCAAGCCAAATGGACTACTGACACACTAGAATAGAGTGGCAGCATGGTTAAATTGCGCTTATATTTTTGATATTTATGTGTTTTAAAAAATCATTTCAGCCTTATAGGAAATTGTCATATTTTACGGCCTTTACTTTTTTACAAGTTACAATATATGTCCAAGCTGTAAGGAGCTGCCGATACCAACCTACATTCAGGCTTATAAGCCTGTAGTTACACATTTTTCTACATTTAATTTGAAATAGTATCAACCAACGGATTAAAAGTTGTAAATAGCCAGTACTTTTTCTACTACTTTAAAATGCGTGACCGGAATAGACCTGCCGAAAAAGTGAGGTTAAGTTACTGACAACACCTTGGCAAAAAAGTGAACGAACAGTAAATTGGAAAAAACAGGAAGAATACACACCAGCTGACTTTGTTTATGTTTTATTTGTAAACAAACTGAAATTCATGTTGCCGCCATGGAAGAAAAAAAGAAAGTGCGCGTTCAATGTTCGGCAGGAAGTAAAAACTAGTTAGCACTATCATAAAGTCACATATTTAGCAGGCAGCCAAAACTTGTAAAAATTAGGAAAAACTCTTTGACATTTTTGTGTTTTCGAACGCAACTAATAGCAACGTTAAGTCAACACAAATAAAGTATAAAAAATATAATTATGCAAACTTACACAGAGAATACACTTTTTAGGTTTTACACTATAACACATACTATGTACATATATCGTTAAGTAGACCATTAAACGTTGCAGTGTAGCAAGATAAAAATTAAATTATAGTCACAAGCACTCTCATTCACACATTTATGCACTCGTGTATTCTCCACACTCACTCACGCACGCATTAATGTCGTTTGCATTTAGTAATTTCATCATCTCGTTAATGTCATTTTTGAATGTTGAAAATGACAGGGAAAAATGCCATAAAAGCTTGGAGATACATGGATGCAACTCTTTCACTAAACGGCGATAATACATACATACATACATATGTATCTACTCGCATGAACACCTTCTTGTTGTTTGTCACCTTCCAGCTGGGTTTGATCTGGGTCAAGCTTAAGGTTGGCGCATATTGAGCGTATCATGAAAATTCCGGGTTATGAGGGGTTATAAGGCGAGAAAGTAGAGAAATGTGTGTGTGTAAATTTCAAAAATGACGGTAAACTATTAGATCATCGTAAATATAAAAAAAACGGAAAAGCAAGCGCTGATGTAGAA